AGGCGGGGCGCCTTCACTGCGTCGCTCGTGAATCAAGGGAAGGCTGACTGGCGGCAACCTTCGCATTGATTTCCGTGGGAACCGAGCCAATGAGGACGGCGAAGGTTCCCGATGTCGCCCAATCGCTGACTTGGCGGGTCCACCAGTTTTTGCACCAAATTCATTTCCCTCGACGCCCCCAGCGTGTCGGGTTCGGCTAGGCCCGGCCCGGATGGGGGGGGGGCAGGGGCGGCTGCCCCGGGCCCCCGATACATAGGGGGGCCCACGTATGTGTGCTCTGTGTATTTTTTGTGTGTGTGGCAAACTATATAGTGAAATATACAATGCATGCAGTTTTCTTGGCAAAATCTAAAATAAGATAGAATTAATATAACCATATACAACTAAATCAGGAAACTAGGTCGACATGCTGGGTTGTACTCACTCCATTGATAAAATTTAATAAAATTTAAGGGTAACATGTGTTTAAAAATAATCATACCATGCAAGATGCATAAAGGGCCCCGAGTTTTGTTTTCGCCCCAGGTCCCGAGTTTTGTTTTCGCCCCGGGCCCCTCAAATCTGAGGACTGGCCCTGGGTTCGGCCTGGGTCCGCGGCGCCAATTTCGGCCCTAACCGGCGAAATTTGGGCTTCTGGGGTGCGACTGGGCCGATTTTTCCGAGCCAGCGATAACAAAGGAGCCCGGGGGCCTATTGGGGGCGAGTGGAGATGCTCTTAAGCTCCAAACTCTCACTACGAGTCGCTTCACCCTCACCCTATGTTGATTAAATCGCCAAAAACCACCACAATTGCATCTGCCAAAACCATCGTTTTAGTACAAGTTTACCGAAAACATTGATTTTAAATAATTGTTTGTTGAAAGCAATAAACCCTCGATTGAGAGAAGTTTGATGCGATATATGACAGGCTAGGCATGCTGTTAGGGCTGACGTGGCACCAAAATCTAATGTCGTCTACCGGAACCTTAAATTAACAAGGGGCCCACCCATCAGTAGACACATACACTTCACCCTCTTGTGCATTATTTCGAGCTTGTTGTGTGCAACATCTCCATCGCCGCCCACATTCTTCTCTTGCAGCGCACTCGACGGCCAAAACTACTCCCGCCGTCGAGCTCGTCACCGGAGTTGAAGGAAATATATCCTAGA